AACCAAATCTAAGACTCCTTCCTCAGGCAGCAATAGTGTTGCGTCTCACAACAATGATTGGGGGAGGAAGCCCCCTTCAGGATGTCGTCATTACGGTGGGACACATTGGAATAATGAATGCCCACAGGCACAAATGAACGCCCATCAAACTTTTGATGATAGGACGGATGACAACACAGATGATGTTGACCAAACAGAACCAATTGTGCCTTCAACGCACTTGTTTGTTCTATTTCTGAGGCCTTAGCAGAAACCAGTGCCGGCATCCATAAGAAGAAGGACACATGCCCAACCACCAAGAAAAGAAAAAAGAAGGCGGATGAGGGGCCTCCTCTTAACCAAGAGAAGACCCTGATGTTTGTCAAAATGAAAGTTAATGGCAAGCCCATTCGGGCGATGATAGACACGGGCACTACTCACAACTACTTAGCCTCAACTCAAGTAAATCGCCTTGGTCTAGTCGTAGGAAAGGGAAGAGGTCGTGTAAAGGATATCAAATCACCGCCTCAGCCAGTGGGTGGAATAGCCAAATTAAAGGGGTGCCAGTGAAGCTTGGTCCTTATGAAGAAAATTCAACTTGCGCGTGATGATCATAGATGACTTAGAGCTGATAGTGGGATTGGAATTCATGAGGCAAACCAACACCATTCCCTTACCTTATGCATATATACTACTGATGATGGGAGCCAACGGGGCCAAGCCCTACATTATCCCATGCACAAACATAAAGATGGTCGCGGAGAACATCTCGACATTGCAGTTGAAGAAGGGAGTCAAAAAACATGAACCTATGTTCCTGGCTACCATCTGTATTGAAGATATTAAACGCTCTTCGGGACCTATTCATGCACCCGTGAAAGAGCTGCTAAAGGAGTTTGAAGACGTCATGCCACAGGCCATGCCAAAGCGACTCCCGCCTAGGCGCGCTATGGACCATGAGATTTAGTTGGTGCCGGGTACGAAGCCCGGGCGCCTTACAGAATGTTACAACCTGAACTCGCCGAGCTTCGACAACAGTTGACGAAAATGCTGGAAATGGGGATCATTGTGCCCTCCAAGTCCCCTTATGAGTCCTCTGTGTTGTTCCAAAAGAAACAGGATGGCACCCTACGACTCTTTGTGGATTATCGGGCCTTAAATAAAATCACCGTGAAGAACAAGTACTCTATTCCGCTAAAGGCAGACTTGTTCGATAGAATGGGTGGTGCTATAATGTTCACCAAAATAGACCTAAAGACAGGCTACTAGAAAGTCCGAATTGCGGAGGGAGACAAACACAAGACAACCTGTATGACAAGATATGGGTCGTACGACTTCCTGGTCACGCCATTTGGCTTAACTAATGCTCCAGCCACATTTTGCACCCTGATGAACCAAGTCTTCCGAGAGTACATTGAAGAATTCGTAGTGGTCTACTTGGACGACATTGTGATATATAGAAAAATATTGGAGGAACACCTGGAGCACGTGCGGAAGGTCCTAGCCCGACTGCAGGAGTATGAATTATATGTGAAGCTATCCAAGTGCTCCTTCACCCAAAAATAGATTGACATCCTCAGACATGTCATTGAGGAAGGGCGAATCCAAATGGACCAACAGAAGATTCAGGCTATTATAGATTGGCTTCCAATAGTGTCGCGCGCAGACTCTGATGCTAAAGACAAGGTGGCTGCCAACAGACCTGCTTCTACATTATAGGAATCTAAGTTCTTTTCATTGTAAATAAAGAGTAGTTTTACTTTTTTATTTTTATTATGTCTCTCTAGCTTAGTTAGGTTATGTCATGTAACTTGGGTTTATTTTTTTTAAGTATTATTAAGAGGGATAAAGCAATCAAACTTTCAAGCAAGCAAACAATTCTCTATACTGGTGTCTCTCCCCCTCGATACCGTGTTGCCTTTCTGTAATAGCTTTCATTAATGCAATCAAGCTTTCTTTCATTCTCATTCTATTTTCTATTCTCTCAATTGCTTTTGACATTGGTTTTTCTGTACGGCACTGGCAATCACGTCTAGTGTACGGAGGGAACCTTTGTTGGCGAATAGTAACTGCATGGACATCGGTTGCTTAGCCTTACGTCGCCCTTCCAAGGAATCTCAAGAAGGCGCCGCGTAACCATGCACATGCATATTATAGTTCTTGATATTTTTATAATTAAGAGATTATTAAAAAGTACCCTTAAGATTTTTGTTAACTTAGATGGAGGTATTGTAGCTAACATTGACAAAATAGTGTGGAAATGTTATATACCAAATGTAGCGTGCACAAAGGAAACCGACAAATCGCACCAAACCGATAATCCGAGTCAAATCGAGAAAAAAAAACCTGACTATGTTTCGGTTTGATATGGATTGGTGTTGAAACTGAAACCAAACCAACCCGTCATTACATTTCTAGAGGTTTTATATATTTAATGCATAAATATATTTATTGTACTTACCAAAACATATTTATTGTAGTGCAGTTTATCTATATTTTTTAAACTTTTTCATAATTTTATCTTTTAAAGTATTATTTCAATCTTGGACTTATAATTTTTGAATGCTCCAATAAGCTTTATTGTCCATAAACATTAGTAACTCAAATAAAGCCCAAACCAAAATTAAATCAATACTAATGCTAACAAAAGACATTCCATTCAATACTATGAAGGATAATAGTGTTGGATATCTATTTTTTAATTTTTTCATGATTTAGATAAAATGCATAACTTATTTTTATTTTTTTCTTTAGTGTTTAATCATGTAATTAATAGCGCTTATTACTTATACTAATTTTAGCATGGCTTAGTATTTTTAGATTATATTTATTTTTATTACGGCTTATTCATTAGCAATATTTATTTTATGCGAATTATCTTTATTGTTGAATTTCTTAGTACAATGTCATGACTCATCTCATATTTTATGTTATTTTCTTGGAAAATATCTTATGTAATTGTGTCTTACTAGGACTAAAGAAATATTTGGAGCACAAATTCTATGTTTTATGCTATGAAGACTTTACCGGAAAAACCTGAAAAAACCTGAAAACCCAAAAATTCGAGATTAAAAAACCCAACTTTTGTTGGTTTGGTTTGGTCTTTAAATTTAATAACCCGACACAATTGGTTTGGTTTGATAATTGTAAAACTCGAACTAACTTGACCCATGTACACCCCTAACCAAATGTAGTGTAAATAAATAAGAGGGTCATATTAGTCATTGGTCGATAAAGAATTAGTTATGCAATTAGTAGATGTTAGCTGACCTAAGTTGAGCTGTTTGCTGGGCAGTTAGAAGGAGGTTAGAGGACTAAGAGATATAAAAAGAGTATATTATTGTAATAGGGGATTCATTGTGATTTGATATTAAAATTGATTTCATCCCCCTTCATCTCTATAACATTCTTGTCATCGACTCCGTCGTCAACCCCGGCCAGTCCACCGAAAATCTGTTTAGGGACCATTCTTGCTCTTGGTTCCTTAGGATTTTCGATCTTTTTTGTTTGAGTTTTGGGAAAAGGGCCAAATATATCCCTCTACTTTTGGATATGGTATATATTTAACCTCCGTTATACTATCGGGTCAAATTTACCCCTATCGTTATACTATCGGGTCAAATTTATCCCTATAATCAGTAAACTTTTAAAAATTACCCCTCAGTCCGTCAGGTGACCCAGAATCTCCAAATCATTTTAATTAAGTTACTGATTCTGCTTCTTGGTCCACTATTTTCAGAATAATTGACATTTACCTGCTATCTGAATTGGAGAAAAAAATATTAAATAATACAACCGTTAATAAACAAAGTATAGTTATTTGAAAAATCTAAATTAGGTGGCTTGTCTAAATTCTATAAGTATTTACAATATCCCAATTTTAATGAATTCGTTGCACCAAATGTATGGGCACTTTGCAAGTATTAGTGATTGAAGTTAAAGTTTCTCGGAGACTTTACATTGTCGAATTCAACTTTGCTTTAATCAAATGCCTACATGTTGTGCACTCTAAAGTTAGTCGATCGAACTCTATACTAACCAGACAATGTAAAATATATTTGAATATAATACATGTACATACATGATGATCAGTTGTATATAATTCACAATAAATAAGACCCACTGAATTCTATAGTGTGCATATGGTTGAAAAAAATTAAACCAATTCCAAACCCATTATTATAAGAAGAAAAGTAGGTGCATTGGTAATTAAAAATATTCATGAATAATTTGTATAGTCTAGTAACTTTAGCATTCATATCAATAATAATTTCTGAAAATAGTGGAGCAAGAAGAACAACAAGTGATTTAAATAAAAGGAATTTGAGAGATTTTAGATTACTTAACACATCAAAGGGTAATTTTTAAATGTTTGCTGATGATAGGGATAAATTTGGCCAGATAATATAATGGTCGGGTTAAATTTGACCGGATAGTATAACGGAGATTAAATGCATTCAATATTCAAAAATAAAGGGGTATATTTGGCCCTTTTCCCTTTGTAAAATGTATAGTTGTTGAAAACCAAAACAGCGTTGAAAGTGAATTGGCTAGTCAATCTAAGATCATATATATCTTGTTAATAGTTGAAAATTAGTGTTCTTTTGTTAGGGTTTTAATTTTTCCTGTTTATACACGAAGTTTATTTTGGCTGGTTCAACTCCCAAAGCTCGGGGAAATTCTGTCCTGTGATGCACAAGGTGTTGCTTCATTTACGTGAAGGACAAATTAGAGTTAGCACTTCAAAACTCAAATGGACATACGTTCTCATAAACTAGGGAGTATTGTTTATTATAACTATGAGAACCCACTAATAATTATCTGAAGCGGATTTAAGATTTTAATCTGATGAGTTTTAACCTTTAAAGTTCTTAGATTTGAAGTCATTTTACTTGAAATTATGAGTCAAAATATAATATTTGCTGAAAGGTTTTTGGGATTTTTTTAATCCAAATTTAAATTCTGCGTAGAATTTATTGGATTCGGACGAAACTGGTGCAGAAGTACTAAAGCCACCCCTACCTACTATCCTCTGTCATGCCTTCTTTTTATTATACAAACGACCATATCCTAGAAGAAATAATGCAGAAATAGAGTATTAAATACTAATCTATGGTACCTGTTTCTTTTAAGTATGATTGTGTTAGGGAAATTAACAAAAGCAAATTAAACCATGGATTACCTAGCCATTGTTGGAGGATTAGTACTTGCCTGGACTTTGGTCCGAGTCCTCTGTTTGGTAAAAGACATTAGAGGCAGAGGATATAACAACAAGAAACTTCCACCAGGTCCAATCCCTTTACCCTTCATAGGAAATCTCCATAACTTAATTGGTGCACAACCCCACAAGTCCCTTGCAAGTCTTGGCCAAAAATATGGTCCAATATACAGTCTAAGGTTGGGAAAGACAACTACAGTGGTAATTTCTTCAGCAGCTGGGGCTAAAGAAGTTCTCCAAAAGCAAGATTTAGCCTTTTCAAGATCAGTCCCAGATTCAATGCATGCTCACAACCATCACCAATCTTCTGTCATTTGGCTACCGATGGATAATCGATGGAGATGCCTCCGGAAAATCTTGAATACATACATCTTCTCAGGTAAAGGAGGCAATAAACAAGTCCGGCCAAACTTGAGAGGGTTAAAATGAGTCAACTCAATATAAGAGTCATGATGTTCAAAGTTTGCTCGGATTAAAATGGGTTAGGTGAAAATAATTCAAATAACAGGTCATAATTCAACTCGCCCAACGTAACCAAACCTCCAATCCTTTTTATTTTTCGTTTTGAACTAAACAAAATGGGAAAGTAATATATTTTTGTTAACTTATTCGTTTAAGTTCTTCAAAATTTACATAGTATTCAATATCAAATTTTGATTTTGTAATGTTTGGGTGACATTTTGACCAGTCGAGTTACAGTATTTTGATTACTCAATAATTTGATGGATCATATCAAGTTCAACCTTTTGGGTCAAGTCTATTAAATGGTCATACCCAAACCCGTTTAAACTTGGATTACTGAAAATTGGGTTCATTGTGCCACCTTTATACTCAGGAAACAGGCTTGACGCAAACCAGCATCTGAGGTCTAGGAAGATCAATGAGCTTATTTCTTATTGCCATCGACAAAGCCAAACAAGGGAGGCAGTGGATATTGGTCAAGCTATTTTCTATACATCATTGAGTTTACTTTCCAATACCATTTTCTCAAGGGATTTTGCAGACCCTTATGTGAATTCAGGTGAGTCCTTTTAGTATAGTCATAGATTTGTAATATAGAACTTCTCGCACTTTTATTTATATATCATTGGTTTGAGATGAGCTTAAATAAACCAACATGGTCAATTTATGGAGGAGTTTGTAATATGTGAATTCAGGTAAAGAATTCAGGGAATTGGTCTGCAAATTTATGGAGGAGTTTGGTAAGCCCAACATAGTGGATTTCATCCCTATGCTAAAAAAGATTGATCCTCAAGGAATTAGGCGACGCATTACTGTTCATGCTGGGAAGTTGCTTAAGCTTTTCGAGGGGTTGATCGATGAACGTGTGGAGCAGAGGAAGTTGCAAACTTGTACTAGTAGCAACGACGTTCTTGATATCCTGCTCAATGTTAGCCAAGAAGATCCTGAGGCAATTGGAAAAAATGACATACAACATATGTTCCTGGTATGTTTGAGACTTGCTTCTTTCTCTTCATTCTTTCAATATACAATTTACCAAATGCTACTACTTATTTGGCTTCATTATGTTTCTGTTCATCTTCTTGCTTTGGCATATACATGTTATTGTCTTCTTATGTTCTAGTTGCATTTTTATAGTTGTCCTATATATTTTGTTAAAATGCAAAGATATAATTAAACACATAGTTAATCAGTGGCGAATCCAATCATAGGTTCGGTGGTTCAGAAGAATTCATATGTCGGGGTTGAATCCAATATATACGTGCGAAAAATAAGTATAAATAGAGATAGATATACATTCAAAACACATAACGTTTAAACTCTAGATCCGTTGCTACAACTACTTATGATGACACAGTTATCCCCCAACCCCCCTGGACTTTATTGTACATTATTTGCTTCTTAAAATAGGCTAACTTATATCTGAAAGAGAACCATTCGTTTGCATATGAGTATGTAACAATGATGTATCATATAGCAATAAATTTCCTAGTTTCTCAATTGTGCATTTGTATTACAGGACCTTTTCGTTGCGGGGACTGAAACAACTTCAAATACAGTGGAATGGGCAATGGCAGAGGTCATGAAAAATCCAGACATAATGAAGAAAGCCCAAAGCGAGCTCGCAGAAGCTATTGGCAAAGGCAAAGTAATAGAGGAACAAGATATTCCTCTACTCCCTTATTTGCAATGCATTGTGAAAGAAACCATGCGATTACACCCACCAGGCCCCTTGTTCTTACGCCAGGCCCAAAAAGATGTTGAGGTGTGTGGGTACTTCATCCCAAAGGGGTCTTTAGTGTTAATTCATGTTTGGTTAATGGGTCGCGATCCAACAATTTGGGAGGACCCTTTGGTATTTAAGCCCGAGAGATTTTGGGGTTCGGAGTTTGAAGTTCGAGGTCAAGATTTTGAGTTAATTCCATTTGGTGGTGGCCGGAGAATATGCCCCGGCCTACCTTTGGCAATGAGGACTGTTCCAGTTATATTGGGTTCCTTGTTGAATTCATTTGAATGGAAAGTTGAAGGGGAGATAGCACCAAAAGACTTGGATATGGAAGAGAAGTTTGGCCTTACACTAGCCAAATCGTTGCCTCAGCGAGCTGTACCAGTTCCACTTTAAGGGTTTGATACATAATTATATGACTAAATCTGTGAAGAATTGAGTACGACTACTTCAGATGTTGATCTGTGAGATGTCTTAGTTCCACTTTAAAGTAATTGCACTACTGTTGGGCACATTGTAATGTAAAATATATAGAAAAGCTATACCAACTTTTATAAAAGTATCATTTATTATTAATAATATAACCAGTATATATAATAATAATTTGTATAAAAAAAATCTAATAGTCTCAACAAATTCTTATAATGATTACATTGTTCGGTTGAGATATAATAATTGAAAGTTTAGTTTCTATGCGATGGAGTCGGCCATATGAGTCCTCACAGCTTTCTTTTTTATAAGCTCGACTCATATATATATATATATATATATATATATATGTGTGTGTGTGTGTGTGTGTGTGTGTGTGTGTGTGTGTATGTGTGTAAATGTAACAATAATAATAATAATAAATAATAATACTATTAAAAGTTCTCTAATACATTTAAGACCTGTTCCTAATTAGTAAGTATCACCTATATAGATTTTTTTCTTCCAAATAATCTTAAAAGTAGACCATACCTAATATTAAGATATATATTTTCACGCTCGATATGTTTGATTAGTTAGTGTTTGATGGGAGTATTTGAGAAGAGGTTGTTTTGTCCCTCATTGGAGAAAGAAAGAAAGGACGAAGTGTTTAGAAGCGTTTCTTTGTCTTATATAGTTTGAATATTTTAAAGGATGTTTTGGAGGGAAATTGAAACTTTGACTATATTATTAATAGTCATTATTGAGCACTTGGGCTTTGGGTCTATTAAGTAGTCCGAAATTAATATTTTATTAATTAATTGAAAATGTTTTTTAAATTAAATAGAAAACGTTTTTAACAGCTTTCTTTTTAAATTCAAAAAAGGTGACAATTGGTTTAAAAGGTGCATGTTAGGAAAAGACGAGTCTGTTAATTCCAACGGACTCCTATAGGTATTATAAATACTCATATCATCTCCAAAACGAAATCATCTGAAAAATTTCATCTCTTTCTCTTCTGCTTATTTTCTACAACTCACAAATATTCTGTTCTTGTGAAAAATTGGAGTTAATTGCTGAAACTCGAATTTCAAGGTTTTGCAAAATCCTGAGGAATTCTGCTATTATCCCTGGAGAAACAAAGCGGGAAGCTTAAATTCCTTAAGGACAATGACTACACTATCGAAGCATGATTATTTCATCGCATTATTTTTCTAACAATCTTAAGGAATTTAAACAACACTGCAATTGAGGCTTCTGGTACTGATTCTGGTTTCAACAAAATATTCGAAGTGTTCAAACTGGATCGATTTGATGGTTTGAATGTCACCCGCTGGAAAGATAAATTGTTGTTATTTCTCACAGAGTTAGGAATAGCATATCTGCTGAGTTCTGATCTTCCTGCAATGCTAGAACCTACTGCTCAAGATTCTGCCGAAATTAAGGCTTCACGCAAAAAACATAAAGATGATGAGGTGCATTGTAGAGGTTTTATTTTAAACTCACTTTTTGATCGTTTATATGATTTGTTCCTTCTTCTCAAAACACCACAAGAAGTCTTGAAAGCCTTGGAACATAAATATACTGTTGTGAAATAAGGAACAAACAGATTCCTTGGAATGAAATTTTTTGAATTTCAAATGGTAGATGAGAAATCTGTCATGGAGCATGTTGATGAGTTGCTTGTCTTGATTTCTAGGCTCAAAGATTTTGAAGTCGATGTTTCTGAATCTCTTCAAGTGGTTGATGTACTTGCAAAATTACCAGCCACTTGGAATGACTATTGGAAGAAATTATTATATTCTACCGAAGACTTTAATGTGGACCAGTTGGCAAAGCATATTCGAATTGAAGAAGAGACACGGAAACGTAAAAATAAATATGTTGCGGAAACATGTTCAAAGGTGAATTATGTTGAGTTTATTAAGGCAAATAATTCTAAAAAATCTGAAAACAAGGTTGGAAAGAAGAGAAAGTTTGAGGCTGCTCCAACAGAAAATTCTTCTAACATTAAGAAAGGATTTGTGTTATACTTGTAAAAAAAATGGGCCATTTTAAGAGAGATTACAGATTTCGTAAGAGACAGAGAAATGAAGAAAATGCTGGATAGAAGAGGGTAAATAATGTTGAACAACAACAAGCTTCTTCTTCAGATATCGTTGCTATGGTTTCTGCCTTTGATAATTTGAATATGAGTATGGTGACCGAATGCAACATGGCAGCAACTATGAAATTTGCAGATTGGTAGTATGATTCCGGTGGTACAGTTCATATATGCAATGACAAGAGTTTCTTCAAACATTATGAAGTTGCAACAAGTAATGAAAAGGTTTTAATGGGAAATCATGACACTGCCAAGGTCTTTGGAAAAGGAACAATTGAACTATAATTCACTTCGGGAAAGAAGTTGATTTTAATGAATGTTTATCATGTACCTAATGTTTGTAAGAATTTAATTTCTGCAAGTTTAATTATGTAAGAAAGGCTTTAAAACTGTTATACAGACAGAAAATATTATTTTTTTCTAAGAATGGTATATTTGTAGGAGAAGGCTACTCTTGTGAGGGCATGTTCAAATTAAGTATTAATAAAATTGAAGTTTCTGCTTATATGATTGAGTCATCTATTAATTTATGGCATGATAGACTTTCACATGTTAATTTTCGATATGTTAAGTTTATGTCTAAAAATAAATCAATTCATGTTGTTGAGAATAATGATAAAAAATGTGAAATATTCATACAAGCTAAGATGACTAAGAAATCCATCCAAAGAATGAAATTTACTTGAACTTGTGCATTCTGATATATGTGAATTGAATGGTCATTTAACTAGAGGTGGAAATATAAACTTTATTACTTTTATAGATGATCATTCCAGATATACACATTTACTTAATGAAAATAAAAGATCAAGCATTTGATATGTTTAAGAGTTACAAAGCATTAGTTGAAAATCAATTAGAAAAGAAGATTGAAATCCTACGTAGTGATCGAGGAGGTGAATATATTTCCAATGAATTTTTTATATTTTGTGAAGAAAATGGTTTAATTTACCAAGTTAGTGCACCGTATACCCCACAACAAAATGGTCTTGCAGAAAGAAAAATAGAACGTTGGTAGATATGGTTAATGCCATAGTTTTACATGCAAAGTTACCAATGAATTTGTGGGGGGAAGCTTTGTTAACGACTTATTTTGTGCACAATAGAGTACCTTCAAAGAAGTTTAAGGTTTCATCATATGAATTATGGAAAGGATGAAAGCCTAGCTTAAATTTCTTAAGGGTATGGAGCTGTTTAGCCTATTATAGAATTCTAGTTCCTAAAAAAACTAAGTTAGGACCTAGAGGAATTAAAAGCATATTTGTAGGATATGCTGAGAACTCAAAGGCATACAGGTTATTGGACATTGAGTCTAAATATATTGTGAAATCTAAAGATGTTGAGTTCTTAGAAATAAAGTTTATTGGTGATTCTAATAATTCACATGAGGATACAAAAATTACTAAATAAGGTGATAGTGCAGCACGCATTGGTGAAAATGCAGTAACTCAAGAAAATTGTGCAGAACCTAGTTTTTCTTCTAACAATAAAAGAAAGGCAATTGAATCTCCTGTAAAACCAAGAAAAAGTCAAAGAGTTAGAAACGAGAAAAATATAGGTTCTGATTTTATTTCTTCTCAAGCACTAGTCTTTTTGGTAGAAGGAAGTAGAGATGAAGTATTAAATAAAATACACATTATTTTAAATTTAGAAGAGGATCCTAAAACCTATAGTGAGGCTATGGCTTCGCGGGATTCGGCTTTCTGGAAAGAAGCTGTAAATGATGAAATGGATTCTCTTTTATCAAATGGTATATGGTTATTGACATCTTTACCTTCTAATACTAAACCGATTGGGTGTAAATGGGATTTAGAGGAAAATATAATATTGATGGTTCTCCACAAACTTTTAAAGCTAGACTAGTAGCCAAAGGATTTAGACAAAAGGGATGAGTAGATTATTTTTACACATATGCTCATGTGGCCAGGATTACCTCAATAAGAGTATTGTTTGCTTTAACATCAATATATAATCTAAATGTCCATCAAATGGATATTAAGACGACATTCTTAAATGGCGATCTTGATGAAGAAGTTTATATGGAGCAACCCAAAAGGTTTGTGCTTCCTGGAAATGAGAAGAAAGTTTGTAAATTAGTTAAGTCCTTGTATGGATTAAAACAAGATCCAAAATAATGGCATGAAAAATTTGATAGTGTTATATTATCAAATAATTTTAAACATAACGGAGCAGATAAATGTATTTATTCCAAATTCACGAAGGATTATGGAGTGATAGTATATCTTTATGCTGATGACATGCTAATCATAGGAACTAACAAGGAAGGCATAAATGAAACTAAGAAGTATTTAACTTCTCAATTTAAAATGAAAGATTTAGGAGAAGTTGATACTATGTCGGTCTCACTACATTGACAAGGTTCTTTCCAAATTTAATTATTTGGGTAGTAAAGAATTTAATACTTCATTTGACATTTCTAGCAAGAAGGTTGAGAGCCCCGGAAGATCTGTTAGTCAATTAGACTATGCTAGTGCAATTGGTAGTTTAATGTATGTTATGCACTGCACTAGGTCAGATATTGCCTTTGTAATTTGTAAATTGTCAAGATATATTCATAATCCAAGTGGTGATCACTAGAAAGATATAGTGAGAGTACTTGATTATCTGAAATTATCTGAAAAAGGACAGACTTTTTCTTTGTATTATAACAGATTTCTTTCAGTACTAGAAGAATATTGTGACGCTAGTTGGATAACTAGTATTGGTGATAATAAATCAACGTCGGGGTGGATATTCACTTTAGGCAGAAGAGCAATTTCATGGGCTTCTAAGAAACAGATGTGCATTACTCATTCCACAACGGAATCTGAGTTTATTGCTTTAGCAGCTGCGGGAAGAGAGGCAGAATGGCTGCGAAATCTATTGTTAGATATAGAGTTGTGACCACAACCAATGCCAGTTGTTCTCTTGCACTATGATAGTGAAGCAACTATGTCTAAGGCATTTAGAAAAATATATAATAAAAAATCTAGACATATTGCTTTAAGACATGAGTACATAAGATAACTAATTTCGGATGAAATTAT